TGAAATTCCTGTTTGGCTGTGTCTATTTTATTTATTTAATCTTTGACGGCAAATATCTTTGTATAAATGTCCATATAACAACTCCGAAGGTGGCTCAAATGGGACGAAAACTTAGATCAAGGAACAACTTAAAAAAATATCCAAATGTTGTACAATTTTTGTCTTTATTTTCACCTGAAATTAAAACAAACACACAAAGTTTAGAACGGCTCATACTCAGACATAATAGACATTCATTGTCTCTTATATATTTACAATATTTTCTGGCTTTAAATAACCGGCAAAAGGTTAATAAAGGGAGGAGATGGATTCAAGGGTATTTACACATATGTGAATCTAATAGACACGACTGGTTTTATGCAGCCTTTGTTACCAAAGGGAAAATCTATTTTTTTATTTTATCCGCCGTGTACGCTGCTACTGCTGTACAAAAAAATAATTATTCATTCTTAATGCCAATTATAGTTAGTGTCATTAGCATTAACTTCCTTCGATTTGGACTCTTCCAAACTTATCCACCTTTTGTACTATATATATATATATATATATATATATATATATATATATATATATATATATATATATATATATATCTTCGTTTTAGTTGTATTCTTTATTGCTCTTAGCTCTGTCGCGGGCCACTCTGTTTATTAAAGCCCACATCAAGATATTTCTTTAGCTCTTTTTTTTTTTTTTTTTTTTTCACCCAAGCAAGGTGGAAAGCCGCTAGGACGCAAGGGGTTACAGAAGATTTGGAGCAAGATCAGATAGGAGTGATAGAGGAAAGGATGAGGAGAAGGATAGTGGGTAGATCAAGGCAACTGGAGATGTCGATTGACATTACATTTAAATAGTTGGAGATTATAGCTATCAGGGAAACTGGAATAGGGAAGGGAGTTCCACAGGCGAGAGGTGCGAGATATGAAGCTATTGGAGTAGAAGAGACGGCTACATTTAATAGTTTCGACAGTGAAAGGGTGAGAGCAGGATGCCAGCCTCGTAGGACGCTTGAATTCATAAAGTCTGGGAACCAGCGGAATGCAGCTCCTCGGAGCAATTACCATGAAAGTATTTGTAAAAAAGACAGAGAGAGGCGACGGTGCGTCTGTGAGAGAGCGACTGTAGACGAGATGCCAGAACAGGGCCAATTATATTGGATATCCGCCTCTGGAGCTTATCAAGAACCCCGAGGCAAACAGAAGGGGCTCCAGACCATATATGACAGCAATACTCCATTATGACATTAGTTAAGATGATACATTCGACATTACAATTGGTTCCCCAAAACGGAAATAACTTATGGCTCAACTCAATATCACTGTTTTTTTTAGACTAATCACTTTACTCCCACGAGAATATTTACCGACATTTGCTTTATGTATTACAGCGGACTATTTTCACTTATAAAACAGGGTTGTAGTGCATGCGGGGTGGACGAATGCTCTTCCCTCCTGGTGGCTTGCGAAATCTGCTTGCTTAAAACTTTACGTAGAAATTCTCTTTGCGTAACGGGGTTATTGCGCCAAATGTTGTTCTTGAGTAGCTTTCTCGTTTTTAACTATACTCCATTAGAAACGATTACACCCGCTTCCTACTAATTATTTTTTTCGTACCTAAAGAAGAGTGGCAGGTGCAACAGGTCGCTGAAGTGTAATTCTGAAGAATCTGCCTTTAACAGCCTGTAACGCATTTTGCACCTCCACAGTCCAAATATCTCAGATGCTGACTCTCTAACTAATTATAGTGATTGACTAAGCCTGGCACAAGGCCAAAAGTCTAAGGTGCCCAAAGAGGATAGATCTCATAATTGTAGGAATGCTACATATCTGCTATCTGTTAGATAGATTTTTTTCCACCCATTGCACTATGGGAGAGCACCCAATCATCTACCTTGTTTTGTTTCGTAAAAAAAAACACACTGTAAAAGGCCCGCGCGCCACTCGAGGTAGAGGGTTACAAAGTAAGAGGCACAATTTTGGCGGATAGGTGGGGAAGAGGACTGTCAGCTCTAGATTTGAACAGATTGTAGTGATCGGGAAAAGATCGTCTTGGGAGTCGATTCCGCAGGTCAGTGGTTCGCGGGAAGAAGCTGCTCGAGTGGAACTTAGGTCTCACCAATTGGAATACGAAGGGAATGAGGTGGTTTGCTACAATGGGCGTGGCATGGCGTGAAGGTTAGAACTTGTGGAACTAAAGAATACAGTTCGTCTGAGCACATTCCGTGGAAATGGCGATAGAGCAGTGAGAGGCTTGCGACATTTCGCCTGTGAGAAAAGGGGTTGTAGGGTGGAAAATAACTTGTCACCCACAAAAACACGGAGACGCTTTTGGACTCTATCGAGACTAGAAAGTGAGGACTGGGCCGCTCTTCTCCCAATAGGGCAGCAGTACTCCATTTTTGGTCTGATCTAACACTTATAAATGTAGAGGATAGCACGAGGTGTCAGGTTCAGGGAAACGAGCATTTTCCTGCCTCTTTAGCGATGGATCTTATGTTCGAAATCCACATGAGGTCTGGGTTGAATTTAAGCCCCAATAGTAGCTCAAGGCACGGGGACTTTCTAAGGGAACATCCATTCATCATGACTGGGTCCGATTGGTAATAATGGAATGTAATTAGTTTGGTTTTCAAGGCATTGAATATAACCAACCAGTTTTTAGCCCCACTAAGATGAACAGGTTCAAAGTAAGGAATATATGGCAGTAGTGATCCATTTTAGGCATGAACTGGAACATACTGGAGCGACTACAGGGAACCGATCATTTTCCTGCCTCTTTAGCGATGGATCTTATGTTCGAGTTCCACTTGAGGTCTGGACTGAGTTTAAAGCCCAATAGTCGCTCAAGGCACGGGGACTTTCTAAGGGAACATCCATTCATTATGACTGGTCATAGTTCAGGGTCCGATTGGTAATAATGGAATTAAATTTCAAGGCATTGAATATAACCAACCAGTTTTTAGCCCCACTAAGATGAACAGGTTCAAAGTAAGGAATATATGGCAGTAGTGATCCATTTTAGGCATGAACTGGAACATACTGGAGCGACTACAGGGAACCGATCATTTTCCTGCCTCTTTAGCGATGGATCTTATGTTCGAGTTCCACTTGAGGTCTGGACTGAGTTTAAGGCCCAATAGTCGCTCAAGGCACGGGGACTTTCTAAGGGAACATCCATTCATTATGACTGGTCATAGTTCAGGGTCCGATTGGTAATAATGGAATTAAATTTCAAGGCATTGAATATAACCAACCAGTTTTTAGCCCCACTAAGATGAACAGGTTCAAAGTAAGGAATATATGGCAGTAGTGATCCATTTTAGGCATGAACTGGAACATACTGGAGCGACTACAGGGAACCGATCATTTTTCCTGCATCTTTAGCGATGGATCGTTAGTACGAGTTCCACTTAAGGTCTGGGCTGAGTTTAAGGCCCAATAGTCCCACAAAGCACGGGGCCTCCCGAGGAACATCGTGATTGGTGATAGTTCAGGGTTCGATCGGCGATGATGGAATGTAACTAATTTGGTGTTCGAGGAATTTAATTCAACCATCCCATATTTTTTTCCCTACTGAGATGTTAGAGCTAGATCGGAGGAAAGAGGTCAATGAAAAATTTGTCCATATACTAGAATTTTTGCTCTATTCCGAACCATCTTATTACTATGATCAGTGCATTTTGCCAATGTTACTATTGAAAATAATTCCCATGTGTCTCGATCGGTCAATGTCGATTTAATTGAGCCATTAGCGCTAATATATCGACCTAATAAATAAGACGCAAAGAGAAATCCGACAACAATATCACAAAAATACTGATGTAATGGAATAACCAGGTACCCCCATGAGTGATTGCACTACAGGTAGTAAGTACCTACAAAGTCTACTGTGAGAGCGAGACGACGCAATCTCGTCCGACCTCACTACTAGATTGACCTGTGTGTATAACTGTACCGTATTTCAAATTGTGCTCATTGTGTACAATAAACCTGTCTTCTGGTATCCACCTGGTGTTATGTGTTTATTCCCTTAGCACGGAATATAACAAATACTGTATAAGCCGTAAAATACGATTACAAATACAAGAAGATTTAACCATAAAAGATTTCACCATAAAAACCGAATAACCCAACATCATTTAAATTTCTTTCAACTTAGAAATAAGCATACGAAATATATTTTACAACTAAAACAAACAAATAAACAAAAAACGACACCACACCAAAGTGACACGTGAAGACCCGATACCCGAAAAAAAAAAAAAAAAAAACAGAAAAAAAGAAATAATACCCACCAATGTATTTAGACGCGACGCTCAAAAACCACAAACAAATAAATAGGTTAAAACAAAAACAATAGTAATTATTATAAATAATAAACGATGTGGCGAGAAAAATAAAATCTAATAAACAGGGGTGGGGGTCAATAAATGAGGTGGTTGGGAAATTATTAAAAGCCAGTCTTTCAAACTATCACAAGACATCGAATAAATAAAACTACAAATAAATGTCATCAATGTATTTAAATAAAATTCTTTAAGAAATTCGAAAATGGTTCCATTAACTTTGAAAAACGTTGCAATAAAAAAGACGAAGGAAAGCATTTACATCTGTAAATCCTTTCTTGATTAAAGTATCGGGTTTCGACTGATTACCCAAGTACAACAGCGTTGAAGCTGGTCTGTACTGTACTCTTTATAGAGAAGAAAAGAAAAGAGAGAGAGAGAGAGAGAGCAAAAGAAAGAAAGAAAGAAAGAAAAAAGAAAGAAAGAAAGAAAGAAAGAAAAATTGATTCGGTTTTATGGGAAGCAGAAGAAAAGAGAGAAGTCGGTTTATATAATGAAGCAAGCGAGGTAGACATAAAAATGAACATAAAACGAAATAAAAGCAAGAGTCCGTTTTATATAAGCATGTAGTGAGAAGGACATTTATGGAAAAGAAAGAAAGAATGAAACAAACAAAGAATTTATGGGAAGTAGCGAGAAATAAATTTATGGACATCTAAGAAAGAAAGAAAGAAAGAAAGAAAGAAAGAAAGAAAGAAAGAAAGAATGAAAGAAAAAAAGAAAGAAAATGAGCAAGTAGCGAGAAAGAAATTAATGGATATAAAAGAAAAAATTTATTTATATAAAAAAAACAAGAGAGAAAGACATTTTTGAGATTTATAGAAAATAAAAGAATAGAAAGAGGAGGACTTAATATAAGAAAATCAAACGAGAAAAAAACATTAACAAGCTTTATAGAAAACCAAATAAAAAAGAGAGGGGGGGTGAGATTTACATAACTAAGCAAGCGACAGGAAAATTTATAGAAAACAGAAGAAAAAAAAAAGCGATGGGGTTTATATGAATAAGCATATAAGAATGAAATACGTAGAAATTTGTAGGAAAAAAAGAGGAGTTGGTTTATATAAGCAAAAAAGAGAGGAAAACAAAACTTTATAGACGGTAAAGAAACGAGAGAGAGAGAGGGGGAGGGAGAGAGAGGGGAGGGAGAGAGGGAGGGAGGAGAAAAAGAGAGAGAGGGAGGGGAGAGAGAGAAGAGAGAGAGGGAGGGGAGAGAGAGAGAAAGAGAGAGAGAGGGAGGGAGAGAGAGAGAAAGAGAGAGAGAGAGAGGAGAGAGAGAGAGAGAGAGAGGGATTTATAGAAAGGAAAAATATGAAGACAGATTTTTTTAAAAAGAGAACCATCCCCAAATTCAAGATAGTCGGTTATATAAAATCCTTTCTTGAAAGTATACGCCTAATCAAAAAAAGAAAAAAAAAATCGTATCTCCTTCATGTCTAAGATTACAGAGTGATTTCTCTTAAACACTTCAGAGCAGACGACAGGGAAGCGGATGTGATAACGTTTTGTAAAAAAATAAATAAATAAATAAATCGGTTTAAATTCATAGAATATAAATGAAATAAGATAAACGTTCCCAACGATGTTTATCTACACTTAACATATTCGTTATCTGAGATAAAGTTAATCAATAAGTCCAGATACGTAATTTTTTTTTCTATGTGCCGTGTCTTTTCAAGACTTTGGCGATCATGACTCTCCACGATTTCTTATCTTTTTTTTTTTTTTTGTAGCTCTTAATAATCTTAATAATTAATATCTCTCCTAAACCCAGTTCCGCCATCCATTTACTTTACAAGTTCGCTAGAGAGGTTATGCGTTGTTTTCCACTGCTCCTCTTGACTTCCAACCTGTCCTGTGAGTATCAAATTTTCCAAGCGCTCTTTCCTCATTACATACCCCAGAAATTTCAACTGTCTCTTCCTGATGTTAACTATGTTTCCTTTTTGTTTCCATTTTCTCTAAAACTTCGCCGTTGTTCAAATGTTCTAAGCATGGCATCCAAAGCATCTTTCTGTAGAACCAGATAGAAAATGATTCTTTTGGGCACTTCGACTTGGTTATCAAGCTTGTCTCGCTAAGACAATTAAGATTGAATAGTGAGTTCGATTCTCACCGGATGTGTCCCATACTTTCGGCCCTGTGCCACGTCTAAACGACGCTTATAAAACCATTATAGAGACTGCTTTTTCTTAAACACCTCAGAGCAGAGGGCGAGGCAGCGGATCTGATAAGGTTTTGTAGGAGAAAAAATGGTTTAACTTCATTGAATATAAATGAGATAGGCTAAACATTTACAATGATGTTTACCTACACTTAATATGGGAGATAAGAAAGCTACATATCAGTTGAATTTTGATCAGAAATTTTTCCCTGTATAATGTTTAGTCTTTATGTTTCAATATTCAACACTGAACTAACAAGAGACATTTAAAATTTCTAGGCCGTATAATGAGAAAAGGCGGCTTGAAGAATTTACACTGACAAGGCATACTGAAGGCAAGAGGGACAGCTGAAAACAACGACTAACGTACCTAACAAGCTCGTATAAAAGAATGGCAGAATAGGAGGTGAAAGGTATAGTAAAAAAGAGAGAAACCTTGCTAAGAGTGATAAAGGATAGGAAGTTGTAGAGAGCATGATCACCCACGTCCTGAAGAAGACTGAATTGAATACATTGACCAGAAAGAACTGTTTGGTCCGTGGTAATACCACGCTCGATGATACTGTTGCGATTTCAGAAGCAAATTTGCTGGCGCCATATTCAACAGATTTGAATTTTCCTTCTCCTAGACTGGTTGACCATTGTGTGCCCCAATATTTTACCCTTACACGTGTGGATGTGTAGAATAGGGGTAATTGGATTCATGCATTTCCTAAGGCTATTAGTGCAAAGGAAACACAACAAAAGGCCGGAATTGGAACTACAATCGCCGATTCCTTATCGAAGTTAAGAAACGCTGAGAGTGGTTTGTACGGAGATGGGTGACCGATACTAGGTACGGCAAGTTACGTGACGGGCCCCAAACGAGTCTGCGATGGATATAATCTCTCTAGTTGTACTAACAGGAGACCTCGATACGCAGATGTATTTCTGGGGTGACAGATCGTAAGATCTATGTGGAGTTGGGTAAGTGAAGTTAGTGTGAGTGGCTCACCGATTCCATTTCACCAGTCGGTGACCATTACACGTTCATAAAGATGGGCTCACCCTCTCTCTCTCTCTCTCTCTCTCTCTCTCTCTCTCTCTCTCTCTCTCTAAAAAGAAATGGACGAATATTTTCTATGAAAATTTCTCGGACATTCAGGCCGGTAAATGTTATTTAATACTGTTTATTATAAACAGAGCATTTACTTAAATACTTGTATCTATAAAAAAGAACGTTAAACATAAAAATGTCTTTAATAAATAATTTGCCGGACTTTGTCCATTTCTTAATATATGACGTCATTTGTTTACATTTGATACACCAGAGCAGTTATGAATGTACGAGATTCATGGAAGATTGAAGTTTATAAGCAGTAAATTCGACCATGCCTACCGAACGCTCCTTTGTGGCCGATCGGATAAGGCACGTCGGCGTAAATGACGGTTCCGTATAGGATGCAGGTTCGAATCCTGTCAAAGGACGAATATTTTCTATGAAAATTTCTCGGACATTCAGGTCGGTACATGTTATTTAATACTGTTTATTATAAACAGAGCATTTACTTAAATACTTGTATCTATAAAAAAGAACGTTAAACATAAAAATGTCTTTAATATATATATATATCATAACGAGACAGTGAGTGTAAATATAGATAAAGAGACTAGAAAAACTGAATTATATATATTATAAATAAAATATTAAAATATTATGCTCTACCTTGTATCGGGCACATTTTTAAAAAAAGTAAATGCTGATGATATTTTCCACTGGGCATTTTTTGAGAAAGGAAAAATTACCCATAAAAACCCATAAACCCCAGAGTAAGTTGTGTTCTGTACTTGTGTCAACAATTTTTTTGTATTCCTTTAAGTGATTGCTTCAATGAGTCTATTTGAATCAATTTCCAATTAATCCGAGGGATCCAACTTCAACTGATATTGTTCATGCCCACATGTGTCTCATTTTTTGAGATTTCGATTTCACGGCCTTTTTATTTCTAGAGTTTTTTTAATGCTCTTCAAAGACACATTACAATTTGCAGGGACTGCCATGTTAATAAGAAAGCACATTCTGTTCTTGTGGTCTTTGATCACGATGTTTGGGCGATTAGCTTTGATTGTTCTGTCTCTGTGTATTTTAAAGTCCCATATAATTGTTACAGGTCCTATCTCTTTAACCGGATCTGGGTGGTGTTCATACCAATTTCTTACAATTTCTTTTCCGTAAAAGTTGCAAATTATCCAATGTAGATATTAGCCCACTCTGTCTTGCCGGGTTTTATATTCAGTGGGTGCCAATACCGTGCAACCTGTTACAATATGTCTAATTGCTTCTAGATATTTATCATAGAATCTGCATTTTGGGCTAACACAGGTTTTCAGCATATGTGGTTGGTAATTTCTAGCTAACAAGCATTCGTTCTGTGCAGCAAGAATAAAACCTTCAGTTTCAGTTTTTAAACCTGCAATACGTAGCCACTGAAGTGTAGAGGGTTTGTCAACATCAGTTTGTTTGGTACGGAGAGAATACTGACCATGAACTGGCTTATCATGCCATCGTTTCTACTTTTCGTACATTGCATTTGCTTTCTTTTTTAAGCTTTTTGTCTCTACATTAGGTGTATAATGTTTTGCCTGCATTTCTTCACCCACTTGTGATTCCATTTTGAATTTGTTAGCTTCCTTTATTAGTAAATGGGGATACTTCTTTCATGTTCTTTGACGCAAACCCTCATCCAGTCTTCCGTAGTTTCCAGGTATCTTTGAAGGCCGATTGTTGTAGTTTTGTAGGACAGTTCTAGTTGAACTAATCCACTGCCTTCTTCGGATATGGACACATACAGACGATCAACATCAGCCTTAGGAAAATACATGCAATGGCAAGTGAGAAGCTTTCTCGTTTTGGCGTCCATTCGCTTAATGTCAGCTATGGTCTAATTAAGGATGTTGAAACTGCATTGCACTACAGCTACAGCCAATGTGTTTATGGCTGATATTGTGTTTTGTGAATTCAACTCTGTATTCAGTACCAGACGCAAACGTCTGTAGTATTCTTTTCTTACTTTCTCCTTCATTTTGGGTATGCTTTATTCCATCTTCTACGCTAACTCCTAGGTATCTATAGGCTTCTTCTTGTTCCAGTTCCCTAATCTTTGTGACAAAATCTAAATTTATTCAGTGTGTTTCTGTAATTCGCCCTTTCTTGAATGTTACTTTTTGCATATTTATCTGATCCAAAACCCATACCTAAGTTATTACTGAAACATTTTACAGTATTGAGGAAACCCTTCAACTCATTAACGTCTTTGACAAAGAGTTTGAGATCATTTATGTAGAACATGTGGTTAAATACTTTCTTGTTTACTTTGTATCTATAGCTATTATTATTTAATTTATGCGAAAGGGAGATTAAGGACAAACAAAACAGAAGGTGTGGCAGGGAGTCTCCTTGAAAGTTTGCTCGTCAGATATTCAGGCGGTTGGAAGTGGCAGGGCTTTTGGTGGGATTTAGGTATAATGTTGTTTTCCAGTTTAATTCTATATTTAAGGAAATTTACTATCACTGAGGAAACTGTACATTTCCAAAACTTTAAGGGTCCTAGAATGTGGCACGCTATCAAAGCCTTAACGGTAATCTATCCATGATGTAGGGCTATTTCTGCCTCTTTTTTCTGCATTTTTCAGGATCATTTTATTTATCAATAATTGATGTTTGCAAGCATATGAATCTCTTTGAAATCCCTTCTGTTTTAAGGGGAGAATGTTGTTTTTATCAAGAAAAGAGTAAATACAGTTCGTCAGGAGAGACGTAATCAATTTATGTGGTGGGCAGACATGTTATTGGCCTATAATATTTTTCGGATCTAACCCTACACTCGTTTTTGGTAGTAGGTATGTAATACCTTTAGTGGTTCATTCTGGGACTTTATTGGGATTATTAATTAGCACTGATGAAGTTTGCCGAAGGGTTTTATGGACTGATGACAGATGATAGAACCAAAAATTGTGTACCTTGTCATTTCCTGGGGATTTCCATTTTGGGGGATTTCGTTATAGCTTGCCTAACATTATTATTGGTTATATTTTTTGTAGAGGTTTATCCTTCCTTTTTTTTTCTTCTCGTTTGATCCATTCTGATTTGGGATTATATCCATTTTGGCTGCTCCAAATATTCTCCCAAAATTGTCGCAT